ACCATTTAGTGGTGTAATGAGGTTTTTAAAGTAGGCGATAGCGGTAGCGATAGCGCGCTATCGTTCTTCGATAGCGCGCCCAACACTGATTTTTATGATTATACTGCTATTGTTTTGTTGTTGTTGTTACTTTTTGGGTTATCTTTTGTGTGGTTTTTAATTGTCTTCACTTATGATATCATAAAATTGTTTTTTATTTTTATTGGGAAATTACAGTTTCGATGGGGTTCATTCATTTCGATGTGACCATCATTATTGTTGACTTGTTTGAATTGGAATTTTATTGTTTTGCATTGATTGTGTTTTGGAATTATGATTTTTAAACGACGGTTATTTTTCGTTGATAATATCGAATTTGCTAATTTTGGTTTTTTTTGATTTGTATGACAGTTTTCTTATCATTGTTTTGTTCCTTTTTTTGAGCGTGATTATATTTCTTTTCATTTTCTAATGTATTTTATTAATTTATTCAGCAATTACAACTTATTAAGTACGAGTTTTTGCCTGTTTCTTATCATCGTTAATGTATTATACGTGCAGTTTGATTGTTTTCAGAATATTTTTCATGTTGGAATGTTAAACTTCTTTTGAATACAATTTCAATGAATCATCAGTTTGGTTGTACGGGTTTTTCGAACGGATCAGTGGTCTTTTGAACCATGCAAGTGAAATATTTGTAAAAATTGGTATTGAAGCTATGAACTCATTAAATATTAAATACTTATCAGGTTACTGATAAGTATTTGATAAGACGGTCAAATTTTCATCTTTGAAGGCGGCAAATTGTTTGGATGTAAATTTCGAAATTCAATTGTGCTTCAATTTATTTTTATCACATTCTTTCGGACATGTCAATCAGTCCAATATGACGACTGATTAGGGTTGTATCGGTTGGAATTTTTGCTGAATGTGTTCATTTTATCGATGATGATGATTATTTTTAGTCGTTTGCAATGTTGCACAGTGATTGCTACTTATAAGATGAAATGCACACATAAAATACTTTTGTGATTTGAATTGGGCTATTTTATTCAGCAAGAAAGTCGTATGAGTGTAGCAGTACACGCGGATTTATTTCAATTGACCATCACAAAATACATTTCTTTGAAATGCTACGAACTGCACTCCTAGTAAATCCGTACGAAAATTATCCCCGCAAAATGTTGAATACTTCACACACGATTCAACACAGCTGAATTGCATAAATGAGTTGGGAAACTGCATACTTACAACACAGATTTTTAATCGGAACGAAGCCATAATGCCATGAAATGCAAAGTTATGGCGCGTGCTAATTTTTGAGAGTCAGTCGTCTGGTTTTTTCTGTGGGAGTATGTTATCGGTAATAAAAAATTGTAAAAGTATTTTTGTCATTTGTAACATCTCTCATGAATCTATGTGTTGAAATGAAAGTGTAGAGAATTTAGAGAGTGAAAAAGCGTTGATCGTAGGTTTTGAGAAGATCAGCTTCATGCATAACGAACGCATTATGAATTCGTCGCATTCACAGCTAGTTATATAGGGTAAAGATTCCGAAAGTATCCATCCCAAGTGGATAAGCAGCAAATAAAATTATAAAGTTGTCCCAACAGTAATAGAAAAACGTTAATTGTGATCGTTTCGTTCCTTTTCTCCGATTGTATTGTGCAAACCTTTCAAACTCACTTAATTTCAAGTTCATAGTTGGTAATGGATCGTGTTGCATTGGTATCGTCATTAGCATGGATCAAGCGAGGTGTTGCGAAACATGTACCCGATAAAGTCCAAGTGAATCCTGCTGATTTACGAGATATGATTCAAGGTGAAATCGCCTGTTCATCACTTCACTTGTTCTAGAGGCTTTCATGATGTACAGTAGGAGCGATTTAGAAGCTTAATAATTTGCAATCACAAAAGTTGTAATCTGATGTGCACTGTTGAGGCTGTCGATACTGCAGATGATGATTTTTAAATGTCTTTCACTTTTGGATTGTAGGGGCAGATGCGGAAACTAGTGATCAATCGGATACAGACGAGGCAATGCGAGAAGGCGAGGGCGATGCCGCTGAAAAGCAGAATGTTAGCGCTGCAAACAGCAACATTAAAAGCGATTGATTTTGGAAATTCGTATCCTATTGAATTTCAAAAAAATCTTAAATTACACACATGAATTTCACCCATCATGCAGTATTACTTGACATTATATTGAACAACAGCACAAAGTGCCTTATGTAAACTTTCATCTTCCAGTAACGTAGATCCTTTCAAATTTCTCTATTTCTTTTAAAAGTACCACGTTCTTCGTATGAGATTTTCTAAATAGTGGGATCTTCTGAGTATCAGGAAAATGCGAAACCAGTACTTGAGGTATTCAAATCCAGTTTGAGTTAACCGACGACGTCATGAGCTCGTTCTTCGAGGCCTGCAATCCTTTTATTTCTCCTCGTCTATCATTATCATGTTTTGATAATTTCACTTGAGGTTGGTGGTATTCGTGGCTCTGCTCCTGATTCAGAAGCAGAAGAACAGGAAGGGGACACGAACGAATCTGCTGAAGACAATAAAGCAGAGTAGGTGAAACAAGACTCAGAATCTGACGAAATTTTCAGAGCATCATTCATTGATTACGGTTGATAATGTAGAAGGTTCAGGATATTCCTATAATTCCATATTGTGTCCTCTGGATGCAATTTTCACAACTGAGCTATTCACAAAAGTTTTTTGGAATATTCACAAAGAGCGCAATGAGAGTGTGACTGAATTCAGAGTGAATCCACTGGCTGGAATAGCCGCATTCGCGTCACCACTCGATGATCCTTATATAACACAACACATTGAGAGTGATGAAGAGGAGGACAAGGAGGATTTCGAGATTAAGGAGAACGATAACCTTGTTGCTGTCGCGAAAATCAATAAGGTTTTAAACTTCTTCTGTCTTATCATGTTTGATGTCATTTCTGATTGCTTATGAATGAACGACCTTCTGCGAATGGCACATCGTTTAAATCAGTGGTTTCCGCGCTCGGATGCTCCATTACCCCTTCGATGGTGTGGCAGCCGTCACCACCCCCTCCTTTCACATTAATTTACTATTTCCGCGTATAATATCAGAACTAATTTCCCGATTCCCTCTGACATTACCTCTCTGACACCCTCAGTTTACCTTAAAAATAATTTTCCCCCTAATTTTCTCCTATGGGAACCCGTGGTCTATATCATTGTTCGTCTCGATTGTCAGCCTTTTTGCAAAACTGAAGAAATTCTTAAAAGTGAAATGTTTCCGTCATTGTCGTACACTGGCAGACACTTCTTCGATAGTTATTTGCCTGTGAACTTGAACAGTCTTTCAGGATAAGAATATTTATTATACTTTTAAACTTCTCAACTTATCAGACTCGCTTGTTTTCTGTAAAATCGTTACTTAGCGATTGTTCTGGGTGTAAAAAGGAACATAACTTGGAGAATTTCATATAGCGGAATATTCGTCAGCTAATAGTTCCTTATGAGCAAATTCTAGGGTGAATTCGGTCTAGAAGTGTATGTGTACAATGAAGAGGGTGACGATTGGTATGTGCATCACGATTATTTACTTGACGCTCCACCACTGTGCTTAGAGGCAATCCAGTATGATCCGGGAGCTGATGATAGGAAGGTTTATCTTTTGTTGCATTTCATAATAATTGATTGATTCATTCTAATCTTCGATATAGTAATATCAACTCGTTAAGGGTAATCTGCTAGCCGTCGGCACAATGGATTCAGCGGTAAGTATATGGGATTTGGATGTAGTTAATGCGGTCGAACCAGTCGTGGTACTTGGCGATCACCTTTCAGGTCAGTTTATCCCGTCGATTCGTTGAGGTATTCGAGAGTATCCTCTGGCAACTCAGTGAATGATTTTTAAGATTTTTTATCTTATATTTAGAGCTGATTTTATTATCTTTACGAGCAATCATAAGAATACTGCAAGTTTGCCAAGGAGGAACGACTGATAATGAGCGATTTTTGGCCTTTTACAGTGTCAGTTGGAATAATTTTCTAATAGCGTGGTTCGCTACATTAAAATGGCACAGTAAAGTAATTGAACTCCAAAAAATTTTGCATTCAGATGGAAAGAAAAGTGCAAGAAGACGTCGGAAACGTGACGGCACACACCAAACACACTCAGATGCTGTGCTGAGTCTA